ATAAACCTAAGAACCTTCTGTAGTTCTGATAAAATATGATTTTACAATGGGAAACAATAATGTTTTCATTCTTTCCCAATGATATGTTAGATAAGCTCGTCTTCACATAGGTCTGTTGAACATATTAGAATGTATATACACCGTGGGGATTTATATAATGGACATGTGTGGTGTATAGGATCCAGTTATCATTGTCTTATGGGTCTTCTCACTAAAAAAAGGCAAGTATAACCCTGAAATCAATAAACAAAACAACAGATTTGTGAGAAATATGGCTTTATACGTACTATATTCCATAAAGTACTATATTAGAAAACACCTCTCTCACAAAGCTCATCAACTCCCGATTCCCTAGTGGCTGGGTGGCGCTGACTATCTTGCTTCCAGAAATCCTCAAAGCTGTAGTATTCAATTGATAGTTGTCAGACTGAGCATACGGTGAAATGAGTGTTTTCAGTTTCCAGTCTGCGTGTGACCCGAACATAAACTGGTTGGTCACCGGAGAGTGGCCGATTTCGTGTTGTGTAGTTCTAAGTCCTTATCGAATTCTATCGACCACTTTGTAATATGATAACCAAGCCAGGAGACTTAGCATCGCTGTGCACTTTGACTGATTTTAGATGGTTAGAGGCAATTGAGGAGAAGCCCTGAACCTGGATTTTGTGCCTATTACTACTCATCAGTAAGGGGTGTCGTGAACTGCAAGGGAGCTAATTTTCCCTCAGAAGTTCGAACCGGCGCACCATGATGCATGCCTAACACATGTTCGAGCCACTGGCTGCTCCAATGTGCAATGTTAGGGGAAGTTGGGTTAAATTGGGAGGAGGCTCATGATGGCCAGACCAAAACGTGGCATCAATGAATAAGGTCCCTGACCGTTGGCCCGCGCTGTGTAGGGCGGTGTAGACCACCTGACATGGGTCCCCGAGATGATAGGAGCCAGTGATTGAGGATTTTTAGTGACGGCTGGAAATCGGTTACAATGGTACAGATATATTCACACCCTTGTATCTTCTAAAGCTTTAATATTTTCACTAACCTTAATTTCCAAATTCCATTTCCTCCCGTACAACTTTTTCTACTCTTAAATCAGTCCTTTTTGATCCACTTTTTCTTTGTAAGCTACTGTCAGGTGTGGCAACCTGAACCGATACACTTGTGTATGAGGCTGTACGTTGATTTTATCTATCTGTCTGTTTGTAGTATGTAATGTCTGTGTCTCGCGTAAGTGCATTTTCGGTTCTGTTTTAAAGGTCATATTTCTTCTAACCAGGAATATTAGTTTTTCCTTACTGAATTTCGACAACTTCAATCTTAACTCATAGGGATTCAGAAAGCATCGTTTTATTATGCAATGAAGCTGGTAGATAATGTTGACTTGTCTGGTTCCGTTAACCAGTGTTCATTTTTAATAACCTAGTAGTACTCTTCGTAGATGGGAATTAAGTAATTCAGATTGACGTAAGTTAAACCTGCTCTTGTTCCCAAACCACTTGGTGGCCCAAGTTGGGACCTGTGGCTTACCAGTTTAGGGAGATGACTCACAGCCAAATGGGTCACGGTTCGAGCCCTACTCCACTTACCGAGATTTGGGCAACCAGGTAGGCCTCACGCAACGGGTGTGACTCATTACGTACTGCACGAGTGTGCACGTAGTTGCTTAGTGCGTTTCAGTAGTTGGTTCGACGGATTCATTTTCATAGGTGCATATATTTACAAACGTACGTATAGTTGTGGAAATGATTTCGTCCTAAATATGCTGACCTTGGTCGCTATCGTCGTTGTACATCTTTGCATAGAAAAAGTATTTATTTTTTTAGTGTTGGTAAATTAGTGGGTAAAGTCATAAGAAAATGTTTATCTCATTTTGGCTTATGTTAAAAAGATTTTTTTTAATGAACTAATGCGTGACAGTAAACTAGCTACGATTCTTGACCCATGAATCACACTTGGTTTCTGATGATGATATGTTTTTTGACAGTGGATATAACTAAAAGGACTTTGCCTCGCTGCGGTATCGTCGTATGCACATTACCAAATAAATGCTTGGGATTTTGTTATACGACCTTAATACAATCCTAGCCTTCTGGGCATCTTCACTTGTTGATCTTTTTTACATACCTACTGATGGGGGGGGGGGATACAACTAATTCTGAATTCTTGAGGATGGATGTCTAACTCGAAGACCCTACTCGAATTTGACTGCGTAAATAAGACGAGTGTTAGTAAGTATTTGAGGCTTCTGAATACGAAAGGTAATCCACGAAATATCGTGAATGCAATAAAGTTCTGTGGTAAGACTAGTCTGTACTGATGGTTAGCTCAGCAGCATATAATGAGGCGGCTGAGCAAGCTGATGCCTTCACTTTCTTGAGAGGTGTTGTCAGTTTTGATGGCTTGGTGACCGGCTTACTTGAAATACGTACACAAAACCAATCCAGCTCTTACACTTGGGGTGGGTTGAAATATCCTACTATTTATTGAGTGGCACGTATGTCGCTTGTCGTTAGTATGGGTGGTAAAGGCATGCAACTTCAGAGGACTTTGCACACTAAATCACAAGTGTCGTTGAAACTAACAGCTAACTAATCAGCTGGTTCAAACAGGATCAGTCTTACATTCATAACTATGAACTGTGATGACACTTGGCAGGTCTTTTTTCATACTCTGTTGGGGACTTAGAGTAATTCTTAATTCAGAATAACGAATTCTTATCCTAGTTTTTGCTTGACACATGTAAATCACTGTTTTATCTGCACAGTATTTGCTGACTGAGGTGGGTTACATCTAGCGAAACTGGATCTGTTTTTGAGTAGCATGGAAAAGCCAAGCTACAAAATCTGTGGAAATTTGTAGCACACTCAATGTCATTATAAATATTTTGAAAGGCAACTAGAAGCGTTTCAAATTTGAAAGGAAATGGTGTTTTAAATAGCCTAAAAATGAACATTTACTCACTATGATCAGAGTTTTAGGTCTCGGTAATATTTAACGCAGAATTACTGCAGTTGAAGTTCTAACTTTTGGAGTTACCATGGGCAGTAATGTTGCTTCGAAGTACTAAAACCTTGAGATATGACCATTGTGTTTGAACATTAAGTGATGTAACCTATTGCGCATAAATTAGAAATTTCGCTATCATATCGTCTGTCAGTGACTTACTCCAGAGTACCCTGCATTTTTCTGAAGTTGTCAAAAACCTTAACGATTATCAGAGTATTAGATCGGTCTAGAATCATCTGTTACATAGGATTGACTAGCGTGATGAAAATCCGTTTCGTTCGGTCTGTACTTCATTTGAGGATGAAGCATAAAATATTCAGAGTATCGGTATCTGAAATAGTTCCAGATAGGAGCCCAAATAATGTTATCTTGCAAAAGAAGACGATTATGGGATAAATTTCATTACCCTTTTAGGCTTCAGGTTTAGTAGTTCAAGGATTTTCTTTGGAATTTTCATCCGATCTGCGGCAGATTCTTATTTCCGAGATTCATTTGCAATACCATTGACTAGAGCATTATAACCAACCCAGTAATTTCAATCAGTAGTCATCTTCCTGTTCTTTTAGGCAAGACTTTATTGTTAATTGAGAACTAAGTTTACATGAACTCTTCGTCAAATATTTCAACTCATTTTTTATTTATTTACCATTAACCATTTGGCTTTTACAAAGATACTTGGAGGTTTTGACAGATCACTGGAATTCAGGAAGTTGGAATGTGGAATTCGGTGTTAAAGACTGATTCAACTGGTCAGTCAGTCTGAAAAAGATATTTGGGTTTATTTAGAAACTCTTGTCCATTTAGTGAACTTGGTGCTTATTGTGGTTTCTGTCGATGGGAATTGAAAAATAGCGTTGAAGTCAAATGGTATTCGCCTTACTTCCAGTACTCATCCATGTGATCACGGATCAGTAAACTCCAGTGAATGGTACTTAACAGTTGTAGACACCGGAATCCCGTCAATGCACTTCATCATTTTTGTTTGGTTATAGTTGTATTGCAGTAAGCATCGACGTTTCTATTAGGTAGTAACTCATTTTTTTCATTCTAACCAAAGTTTCGTTTGTTACATTTCTGACCTTACAGTAATCATCAACTGTAAAAAGATACAGAAGCGTTTATTAAATTAGTTTTTCAAATCCCAGGATAAGGATATGAATCAGAAAAGGATGAATGCTTGGATTGGTAATAATCTTAAAGATTAAGAATACAATCAGTGGCATAGCTTAGTGTTTGAACCAGTGTATTGGTTTTTGTTGATTTCGACATTTGTATTGTGATACTTTTCGCTTCTGTGAGTGATGAGCTACATCGAGATGTTTTCATAAAATTGCATAACTAGTTTAAACAAAGTCGTCGTTTGTAATTTACTGTCGTTGATTGAAGCGAATTGATCGGTGTGTATTGGCATATGGGCTCATGTACAGATGCCTCGATATTGCCTATAGTTTCATCTTGTTACTAATGACGTAGTGGTTGTCGTGACCAAGTGGCCTAATGGATAACGTTTTGATGTTTTAAACTCTTGGTTTTAGGTTCGAGCCTCGGTGTTGGTGGATCAACAACACTGAGAGGTAGGTACATCCGGCTGGAGAGTTCCAAATAGGATGAGATACGTGTCCTACATTCCAGTGTTAGTCACTATCCATCATTACTAAGTTAAACTAACAACAACATTATGAAGCACAACTCTTTCACTATGAGCTTCACTATCCTCTTCATACTGTGGACATTTCTGTGATTGGATGTTTATGGATTAGGGTTTGATTTGCTTCCTTCTCAACTGGGTGGTCTCACTGGCTTTTGGATGCTGAGGTGAATGAAAAGTTGACAGAGTGCAGACACTGGTGTAGGTGTGATTTTTAAAAATTCTCTACCTCCACCTCCAACAGATAATAGATTCTTTAGCGGCATTTTTGTTTTATATTTCGATGATAAAGTCACTTATTAAACTCAACAACGTAATTTTTTTATTATTGCCTTAATTATTCGTATAGGTGGGAGTACACTGAGCAGAAAACAAACAGAAGAGTACTTAGATTATATTGAACGAATGATTAAATGGCGAAATGTGTGAGTATTCTTAAGAATTTTAAGCTTTGAACACCTAAATTTCATTCATTTCCTAAAAATGGTATATTATTCAAAATACTTGATTATTTTCTCCCCTATTTGTGTTCATTTGTTTCCTTTTGATTCGACATACTGTTGTTTACCCGACGAACAACTGAAATAATATTCATCACCCACTCGCATAAAAACGAGTCTCTCAAATTCACAAACTATGTTATGTTTCTTAGACTAATATGAGGATATTGGAGGATGGAGGGGTGGGGAGATATACAAATGTTACTGCACCATATTGGTAATTATTTTCATTCTTATAATGAAGCTACGAACAGTTGGTTCCCTTTACGAAATTTGAATATGAAATGCATTACGGTGCATTTTTTCGGTAGTAAGATTGCAATGGTTCTCATCAGAAACCACAAATACCTGAAGCCTTTGACAAACAGTCATGTTGCTTCCAAGTTTCAAGGAAAAGCACGTGAACCTACATGTAAATATCAGACTGCTTGAAGAGCCGAAAATCAGTAGGATATGACATTTTGAATAGGCCTAGAAATAGACAAGGCTGGCGCGGTGGCACGAAGGTTGTTGGCTTGAATCATCCAAGCTGACCAAATTTTCATTTCACTTTCATCATACAGTAATCAGTACAAGTCTGCCAAACTACGGCTACCTCAGATTATCAGACTGATAAAACATATAAACCGTTACATTTAGAAATTTCAACATTGCAATACGTCTGAACCGCGATGATGAGCGTCGTAGCTTTGTGGCCACATTGCGAAATGATCAACTGAATTCCTGTCAGCACTTGGGGCTAGACAGCATAAAATTGGTTGCCTTTCGGTGACCAATCAATGTAGCCATTTCTGTTGCACAACTGTCACCTGTCTCATATATCATATATTCAGCACCTAGGTAAAGAGTTGTAATGAAAGTAAGGAAAATCCAACCTAGACTCTGGAAATATAAAAGCGAGTAGCCAACAAGCACTAAGGGAAACGAGTAACAGAATTTTAGTGGTCTGCTCTTACAGTTCATATTTAATCAGTTGTTTCACTATATTACTCATAAGTAACTGATCTTTTTAAGTATAATTTCCTTACGTTCTTTCCGTTGCTTTTTTTTGCTTCCTGTTGTCTGTGTGTGAGTTTGTGTAAATCAATACCCCTAGCTATAATAAATTAGTCACTTTTTTCCTTACCCATTGTAGCTAATGTTTTAGATACTGCTATATCACTTCAAATATGAACATATACTAAATACAGAAACGCTTATTACAAGAAATCAAAAAAGTTTAACTCCGAACGTTTTTGTGCATTGACGTAACAAATCCGTCACTCAGAATGCATTGACACAGTTGGATTACATTTTAGCTTCGATTTAAGTAGTAGCAAGTTCAGCTACCAGCTAGTCTTTGAAAAAATACTTTTGCTTCCTTGAAATATGGTAGACACTGAAGGAAGACCTAACATTTACGAAGTAATGTTTCCCAGTAAAGCAATATAGTTTTTGAGAAAACGAAGCAGCTATCGTTTTATTTGTTTGCATAAACTATTTATGATTTGGATGGCTGACAGATGTATGTGTATATGACTGATTGACTGAAAAAGTAAAAAAAGAACCTCGCACAGAGGTGCATTGGCTCAAGTTGCTACACTTCATAGTAGTATACGAAGAACAAGTGGATAGAAAAAGTGATATCAAAGAAGATGAATTAGTGTGAGAGGATAAAGAATCTGAAGATAAACGTTAGCATGAATATCCAAGTTACGTGAGGTATCAAGGCGTGGATACATCCGCACCAGCCATGTTACTAAGACTCCTCAACCACTGATTCCTCTCGTCTAGGAGACCGACACCAAGCAGTCTACATCTCCCCACGGCTCAGGCCAACAGTTGGGAACTTCAACAACTGGTGTCATGTCTTAGTCTGACCACTCTGAACCCTCTTCTGACCTAATCGAACTTCCTCTAGCATGTCACGTTGAGGTAGGTGGTGAACCGGCATGCTCAGTACATGTTCAAGCCATCTCAGTCGACTTAAGTTCACAACCTATCTTACCTGGTACCCTTCGCCTGACCTCAACATTGCTCACACGTTGATTCCACCAAACGCGTACAATGCCACTAATACACCTATGATCAAATACATGTAACCACTTCGCGTCCTATACTTTTAATGGCTATATCTCACAGCCCTACAAAGGGACAGAACTTACATAGAACAGCAAATATGTTGTGATGGCCAATGTACTGATGACAAGACCTTCACTAGTTAGCTTATGAAAACCATTCATAAAAGCAATACCAGGTACATACCTGCATGTCTAGAGAAGTGATATTCAAAACAGCAGGTTTTTGAAAGGCAGTCAGATGACCCGAATCTTGACATCTCACGGTATCAAGCTATCTTACTAGTGTGGGTTACAAACCTAGTGTATTAGGGATAATCATTTCCTAATATCAGCTCGCGATCTATCACAAAATCATTCGATTTCATTCATTTCCGTCCAACTGATTGTCTAGGCCTTCTAGAACGGTTATTTCTACTGAATGTTGTATTTCCTTCTACTTCACACCATGTAGAATCAACAGTTTTATTGTTCTTAATCAGGTTGAAATTTACGCATTCACCGTATACTTGATTCATCTTCTGATATGACAGCTTGACCATTCGTTTTATATATCTGAAACTGAGGTTTGCCTGACAATGAACATTAAAGGTATGGTGACCAAATTAGAAACTTTCAGATTAGAGTAAATTAATTCAGCGCAGAAAATTTTCTTGTTCACGAATCATCTTCCTAGTTAGTTTCTTATACATTCACATTTTAAGGCAGCCATCAGGTTCGCTCTTCAACAAAGTACCAGGAAAATGAAGTCTTGAATTGTGACCAATATTTTTAACTCAGAGTGTACATATTCACAAGGATGTTAAGCTCTAATGGACTGATGACGATTTCTAGCATAACATTGAAAAGTTTGCCAACTGAAGTCCTAGTTCAGAGAACTAACTCACTCTCTGAACTTTCCATCATGAACTGAATAGATGACATTCATTGAATCTTATCAGTATGGCATGGGGACCAATTTCCTCATATGGTGAAAGTGTCATCCATTTATCTTCTTTTTTAACAAGGCTAAGGAACTTTTGACTATTTCATACTTAACCAGTTTGACAAGGTAAATGTTAATTTTGACTAAATAATTCCACAAATATCCATTCTACCTTCTATCACTCGATAATCATCACCTTTTCGAAGATTGTTGCCATACAAAGCCGTTGGATATGAAAAGAGAAGAGATGCATTATCCGTAATACAGCAATATTGTTGGTTTGTATGACTAATTAACTGGGTTTTGTAAATGCTGATTTCGGAGTAACAGACTCTTGCGTTCAACACTAAAAAATTTGCATTATTCGAAGGTTGGAGATTTGAGTGACTTTAGGGGGCCACCCTAGTAACTGCTGAGTAGACCAATCAGGCTTCGGTATTTCTCCTGGAAAAGTATGTTGCCACAAAATAAAGGAATTTAATTGGCTGTCACGTGAGTTGCTAGGGTGGCTTTTAAAGTCATCCGGGAATTTAAATTTGAGAGGACATCTTAACCGCCCAGTCTTTGAAACTGTCTTGACCGAACTGAGCGTTCACTGCTAATGTGTCTCAGATTGTGGCCAAGCAACGATTTATTTTCACGGTTTTCACTATTTCTCTTTATCAGTATGTGTATCATTATGTAGACCATCTTTCAGTTGAGTACCATCTCGAACATATTGTCGTTCTCCTTCTATAGGCCCTGATCAACTGACTAGATAAATTTAGTAGGCAAACCATGTGCTGTACTTGTTTGCTAGTTTCAAACAGGTTATCTCTCTTCAGTCTACTTGAGTTCCTCAGATTTTCATATCAATTACGGATGATGAGAAATGCCTTTTCTGTGGTAACAAGGGTGAAATAGAGGCCCTTCTTACTTGAGTCAATCATCGGCAAACGTTGAGGACAATTCGACCAACGGGTGTTATGATAAACATGGTTGTAGTTATGGTAATGGAATCTGTGACACTTTTCGTGGAGTATTGTCTGCGGCTTTCAGATCAGAGTGTTCTTGAGAAGTGTTTACCGAACCTAGAGACCAAAATATTTGTCTTTCTCAAAGAAGACTAATTAACACTGGTTATGAGCTCGTAATTACTTCCCATGATTCGTTTGCCAGCTGCATTTTTCCTACAGTTATTGAATTTAGATAAATAGTAGGAGAGAGAGGGGTGGGAAAGAGGATTTTGATGAATCATGATGGCTATCGGGTTCCGCTTTCTGTATGATGATTCTTTTTTTTCAGCATCTATACAAGTCTTACATCAAATCAAAAGTTGAACGAGGGTCATTTACTTGACTTGGCAAATTTCCTGCAAAACATGGCCATATCGCTTAGACGATTATTAGAAGTCAATATAGACTTATGTGTGTTTTGTCGCAATAACAACGAACCTAAAGAGGTGTACACAAGTCATAAGGTGAGTAAATCTATCACCTGTTTCTATGAAACTGGGACTTTCCCATTGTTTATTGCATAGAATTATTCTTTTTCTGAAGAATTTGTTACTTAATTGATTTCTTAGAAAAACCATGTTAAAATCGTCGATAACCTAACTGTTTGTAAAGTACCGACTGACCTAGAGAACACTATCTAAAGGGTATGCAGTATTGTTGCGTTTTCTGGAAATAACCACAGTGTGTTATAAATTTGCCTGGTTGCAGCACGTGATTTTGCAGACTGAATCTTGACGTTGACCTTGCACCCGATTGGTCTCATATACACTGGCCCAGTCTAGTATACTCAATTCACCCACACGATGAGTCACACAGTTCAGCCCTTCCAGTTGCTGACAAAACACAAAGTCTGTTGTTTATTTTTCGTATATTTAAGACGGTCTGACTCATCTTTATATACAACCAAATTACCTGACCACGATGCAGCGCAAAAGAAGACAACAGCAAAATCTAGATAATGCACAACAATGAATTTCACTCAACATGCAATTATTTCGAAATTATATGTTATACATAAATGGATGAGGGGTTAGTCGAAAGCTCCTAAACTTAACTATACAGTACTAAATAAGCCATAAATAGAATAACTTTCAAAATAAATAAAATAATAAGACCAATGATACTTATTTGAGATTCACGTTTCTCACTTTTCGCCTCATATAACAGAATGACTGGATTTATGAGTCAAAAATGGATGAAGGGAAGGCTACCTGCAAAGAGATTAGCATGTATTTAGAACAAAAAGAGCAGCACAAACGGTGATTGCGCACACACCATTGTATACAATATCTAGTTTACTCCCGTACTGTTCAACTGTACACTGTATTGTGTAGATACTGTTCCATGTTATTCTTGCAGGCTAGATTACCAGGTAAGTATGTCTTTAACCAATACACATATATTGGTAAGAAAACTGCTTGGGCTCCTATTCTATGATGCTTTCATCTAAGATTTTATTAAATTTGAAAAAACCCTTGGCATCTTATTAAAATGCTAAGTGTTGGAATGTACGGGAGATAACTTTTTAAGTGATAGCTTTATGAACACGTTGCGCATATGCATGGGCGCCTTGTCAGTGGTGGGTTCATGTGTGATAAATGAAAAGTGACTAGGATATAAAGGATTGTAGCAAACCGATATAACCTGCTTAATACAGATGTACTCCTGTAAAATGCTTCAAAAATAGCCTTCAGATTCCACCTTTGGTGGTTACTTAATTCCACAGAAATAGAAAATGTATTCCAATGTCAAAGTAGGCACAAAATGTGTATCTATGGTCTTGATTATTTGCGTGATGACCGTTTTCTGTTAGTGTTGTATTTTCGACCTGTTCTTATCAGCAGTTCTCGAACATAATTTTACCACATGAGTTCGTATCGCTGAAGAATCTTATATAGATTTTGTGCTTTCCATGCCTAGAACGTAGCTGTACAAACCATTACATGTTAGGAAGTCATCCTAAGTTTGTGCCTACACCAACCAATATCAACAAAGTACCTGGTATTAATTACTACGTAACAGTTTAAGTTGCCACATTTTGGGATGAATTTATTCATCCAGTTAAGAACATTTGTATATATGATGATGACGAGTTGACAAGCTGATATGAGATATGGCAGCTTGGACAGTTACTCAGTAACTTCAGGTCCCGTGTAGATACTTAGTTACTGACTGATTATTGACAGATGAGTACTGGGCTTGGAGTTACTAAATCGGCTGATATATGTAACGGACACTGAAAGTACTAATTGCTCATGCTTAATCGGTATAACATCTCAGAAACCAGACTGAATGCGTATTAGAACATTGAACAATTGACCAACTGACTGTATTATGTCTTTTAGTGAAATGCATTGTCGCTTACATGCAAAAGATGCGGTTAAAATAACGTGATTATGAATTAGTTGTCACCGGATAACATGCATTAAATTGAAGTTGAAACAAAGGTTAATAGTTGGCTAGCGCTTTCTGCATTTTTGTCCTAAAATTGAGGCATTAAATTACTGCGAACATACTGATAGGTGTTGCCAAGATCGGTGACCTACAACTGACTAAAAGGAGTATTATCTTATGCTAAGTAAACAGTATCATACTGCAATGTTGGATGTAGATCGCGAACTCTCAGCACGTTGTGAACTCTTACCAGTCTGCTAGATAGCTCAATAGCCATCACTACTCTTCAGATGTCTGCATCCTTTATCAAACTGGTCAAAAAGCTCCGTTGGCCAAAACTAGCACCTCAGATCACGGATGTTTATTGAGTTTCTGAGACAAACATGTAGGAACCAAGTGCGGTTATTAGCCTAACCTCACCCAATCAATATGGTAAATCCACAAACTTTACCCTTCAAGTTTCTGGGAATTCATTGGTTAATTCTCATGGTTTCGCAAATATAGGTGTGGCATCAAGTGCTAACTTAGAAAGTTCTCTACTGGAAAGGACCCCAGTTGTGACAGCCAGCACAGTGAGGGTTGAAAAAAGTAGTGTGACTCCCCGTTGTCTCTCTTTGTGATCTTTGCTTACACACCCGCTGACTGTAGTTCGGAAGAGTTCTGCTGAGGAATATTTAGCCTTCTACTGAAAGCTAAACGTTCAGACGTAGTTGTTATGATGATTGATTTCAATGCACAAATTGGTAGGCTGTCAGGGAAAAAAGCGTTTAGGTGGTGCTTTCGGAATCCCAACCAACCGAACAAATAACAGTGGTTGCCTGCTACAACTGTGCTCAGACAAGCATCTGTTTCTGGGCTGCACGAACTCAAAGCATAATGAGAAATGTCGTCTGACATGACACCCACCGACCTATATTCAACCACGAACACAGACCATATTGTTACTAGTTATCGCTGGAGAGAGGGTCGGTGGGAGACTGCAGTTGTTTATGGAGGACGTGTTTGGACAAAGAACACGCATATGCCTACGCCTAAATGCCTGTGAAAAGACTACAGCGGCAAGGATGTTTTCAGTACTATTTGACGATGAGAATGCTGAGGTCATTTTCAGCAAAACAACTGGGTAGACAAGTATTGGAACATTACAACACCGCTCATCCAGAAGAACCCTGGTGCCATCTCCAGTCTGCCATAAAAACAGCGTTGAAGACCGTAGCTGACTATGAGACAGTGGTTAAAAGCGGCCAGTGAATCTCAGCAGCTTCTTAATAAATTTAGTCATGTGAGCGCATTTCTGCAGGTTTCAAGCACGATGAGGAGCAGAAGCAACTCAAATGTAGACTGATGAGAAGTTTATACTATGAGCTCGAGCAGTGGTGGGTAGCGAAGGGTTAAGGAAGGCAAAAAGCGGAGGTAGTAGGTAACAGTAGACAGCTATTTAGACTGTATAAAGAAACTGTGGCGAAAAGATCAATGGTTAGTGAGACCATAGCAGTGAAGGACGGGTCTTGGGATTCACTCGCAGGGGAGACGTCTTGAAACACTTCGAGGATCAGTTCAGCTGGCCTCCTGCTAATATTTCATTGCCCAGCCCTGCCTGAAGACTAGGCGATATGGCTCAGAATCAATCTTAGTAGTGCAGATTTATTCACACATTATGTTTTCGCAGTCGTCATACTGAATTTCAGTATTCTTACATTCTTCCTTGTTGTCGTTTGGGATCTTTCTACCAGTTTTGACTACCTTCATCTTTATTTCTTTATCCATCATCTTAGTGGATTATCTCTTGATGTGCTGATAATGGGGTGTGGCAAGTAAGACCATCACACAGTAATGCCAGGTACTGTTTATTTTGTCTGTTTGACTACTATGATGACTTATTAGCCAAACTATGTTGCCGTACATTTTTGTTTTAATTTGGTTATATGAGCTACTGGTTAGAAGCCACTCTGTATCGGTTTCACGTCATTATACTCAGTAAATGACCCCAACAAGGTAATTATTTCCAATGACGAGGGGAAGGGGTAGATGAGCGTACATAGAAATGCAATGTTACCGCATTGAACTGCATGCCTACAAGAAATCCAGCACATCTTATTTTTCAAGCTGGTAATTATCACGGACTGACGTCAATTAAGGAAGTATTGAAAACTTGGAGGCAATGGATAGCTGTTTCTTCGCGGTATAGGACCCGTCAGCGGCACGCGCCCATGGCCTCACCCCACCAGGGATCGAATCCATGGCCTTCAGGTACCGTGACGAGCATATTGTCATTGTGTCACTAGATCGTAATCCAGTGATCCACGTTTTCTTGAGAACCTTAGGTTTGGTCTCTGGTGGTGTCATGCGTGACCACTTCTGAGGAGTCCCATACTAGGGAAAAACAACCATCTAGTGCACCCGGGTTCTCAATGGTTCTGCAACTGATGTCAGTTAATGTTGATTACCAACTTAAAATCAAAATGAACCCTGCAAAACCTCAAAATTGAATTACACCATTTTTCTGCTTTATTTAAAGCTGATTCACTGAGTTGTATAGATTATAAGAAGATTGTGAGTTGGAAAGAAAACTTGTAAGTAATACACAAATTTAACTGTTCTCTGTAGTACTTTTTTTTATCAAGGTTAGATAGTTGCAACAGGTCAATTATGTAATGCAATGTAAGTGTTAATTGTCAAATGATCAATTTGTTACAAATCTAAGAATCAAAATGAGTGCATGATGTATGGTTAGGATGAACTCAAGAAATGTAATGATCATAGAGAGCAAAGAAGTGAATGAACTGACAACTAATGACCCTTAAGCTAATTTTATCGTAAACTCACAGTTTACCTTGATTGACTCATATTTTATATATATGTTGAAATCTGTGTAGATGTTATTATCGACAAACCCCTTGAAACTTGATGAGTAAGATGATCTGGTCGTCAGAAGTTAGACAGTTATTGACATTCAATTGATCTCTCAACACCCCTGGTAGCATAAAACTAGGTTTTCATTGGATTTGTCTTGTCAAACACCTTGGGAGTGTTTTCTCATTTGTACATTGGCTGTTCCGATATTGAGGGACTTTTACTAATGGGGGGTGGGAATGTGGGTGTCTGAGAATAGTAGATCACGCAAGCATTCACAGAATTTATTTATTTTCATAGAATTTCAACATGTTTGTTGACTATGACCATTATTCTTAAATTCCATTTCGGTTAATTTGTTCTTGTAGGTTATTTTTGCCATTAATGTGTGTGTGTGTGTATGTGTGGTTCAACTAATGATACGTGTCTGTGAGCACATCATATTCTTCCATTCTAACATGTCTTCATGAAAGGGAACCGAACTCTGTAGTACTGACTGTTTGTTATTCAACGGGATAATCAGTTTATATCATAGATGAATGAGCGGAGGTGACTTAAAATGTTTCATGAAACATCATTGTCAACTTTTGGGGTTCATAAAATGTTTCTTAAATATCCTACAATCACAGAACCTGTTTCAACCAATCACACAAAAAGGGTCCACTGAATAATTACACCTAATTCTGAAACTTCTCTTTTCTATTCAGGTTAAAGATCGTTCTGGTCGGGTGACCTGTCCATTTCTACGTAAATTTACTTGTCCATTATGCGGTGCTACAAAAGATAATGCTCATACAATAAGATATTGTCCAAAATTACCAATAAACTCTAATCGGAATACTACTCGACCAACTTATCAAATGATTCAAGCTGGTTTGTTGCGACCTATGTATATCACTACTTCCTTCAATTCCAATTGAAGCTATCGAAACCAAAGAGAGGAGAGAAACAGATATAATGAAACGTAATATTTTTTATAACCAATTTTTATTGTTTACAATCTACACAGTTGATTGCTTTTATTATGCATTGACTATTAATAATATTATTGCTATAATGATTATTATTATTATTTCTGGAGTTAATGTTTAAATCACTTTTAAAATAAACAACTCATAATGATAAGTAATACTTTAACTTTCATTAGTTCTAATATTTCAAGTTGTTATTCATCGTAGATTGACATCAGTTGGAGGAACAAAGGGAACCTGGGAGCACTGGATAGCTGTTTCGTCCTGGTATGGGACTCCTCAGCAGTGCGCACCGACGACCTTGCCACGGACCGAACCCGCGACCTTCAGGTTCCGTGGCCAGCACGTTACCATTGAGCCACTGGGTCAGAATCCAATGGTCCATATTTCCAGCTTCTGTTAGCTCACGATATAGCGCAACCGCCTCCCAATATCATTGTTGAGTAACTGTCCTCACGATCATCAGGCTTTGCCCCCAGCTGTCACGACTTCTCATTGAAACTTCGGGAATACCTCTTGAATCTAGTTACCAATGAGTTCTAATATTTCTAGAACTTGATGGTTTGATGATGTCGAACCATGATGAAGAATAAGAAGTAGTATAGTAGTGGTGATATTTTCAGGAGAGCCTCTTACGGAAGGTCATGTGAAACTTGTTCTTATCATGTGTTCCAGTTTGAAGGATAGGATGAGAGCGTTCATTTATCACAGTATTTTGTACAGAAGAAAACCGAATTATCCCTCTAGGCTTAAAATATTCCAACTATTTTATACTTCATATAGATTTGTTTTCAGAGAGAGTTAATAGTTAGATAATTCAAGGGTCATCCGTGGGTTGTTGTTATACTACCTGGTGGAGTTAGATATTTAGAACTGACTCACATGAAGTTCTGCCTAACCTTGTTTCTGTGCTTATTAGCATTTATCATGAATTGTTTGTAACCTAGATGAGACTTTGACTACTCTCTGAGACTTACGCATGCCATTGCTCTGTCTCGAAATCACAAAACGTACCAATCAGCCCATTTTGGATGCAGATGTAACGTAAGTTGTTAATAAGTGTATGAACCCTTTCTGGAAACTCGATTTTTTAAGAACAGAAGAAGGGATAAGCCTACAGATGGTTCATCGTGAGGTTAATGATATTCAAGATGTAACGATATATCTAAATCTACTTATTTTAATTTTTAGGATAGTATTCATCACGGACTGACGTCAGTTAGAGTACCATTGAAAACCTGGGTGCACTAGAACGCTGTTTTGACGTAGTATAGGTTTCCTCAGTAGTACGCATCGATGACCCCGCTAGGGATCAGACTAAGGACCTTTAATTTTCACCTGTGGAGCAAACGAGTCGGAAGTAAAGTAGATACCAGCTAAAGACCTTGGTCGATAGTCTCGCTACATAGCGAATCAACAGAAGTATGAAACTGTGGCCCGCTGATGTGGAACCCAATGGCGGGGTAATGGATGCGTAATGCTGGGACTAAACTGCTATCCAGTGCTCCCAGGTTCTCCAAATGATGTCAGTCTGATGAATACTGCCCGATGTATATATATATATATATATATATATATATATATATATATGATGGCCTTGGTTATCATCATTGGTTTTATCTTAAACGATCTGACAACACTGTATGGTCATGTGACTTTCCTTGAGACTTTGGAGCATATTGGATTATTTGTGAATGTTATGAGGAATTTTTAACTTCTTTGAGACAACTAACCACCTAGCAGTTCTCCTCTCCAAGTTGAACATCACATGAAATGCAATGCGTTGTTGTGACATATCACAGCGTATTCATCATATTAAACTTGATCCATAGACCTTGATCATCACATAGGACTATTACATTGATAGGCCACCGCTTATCAACTTGTGTTCATTCATTTACTGTCAATGTATAAAAAAATATTTCTGGAGCGTAGCACTGAGAAGAAGCATGTTTTTCTTCGTCTAGCATTCAAAGGGGATGGGATGTCTGAAAGAATAGGTAGATGAATAAAAGCTGAACTGAGAAGGAGCTTCCCAGCTGCCAGACTGATCTCATTTTACAATACATTATGCTCAATAACACAGTCTAAAGTAGACAAATACCCATCTCGCGTCGCCTTCAACTGTGTTTGTGGAAGCAAGTACATAGAACGAACCGGACGAAGGGCGTCTACTCGATTTTATGAACATATTCCGAGAAATTTATGTTTGAATCGTAGCAAAGGCCCTAGGAGCGCAATCGCCAGGCAGGCACCTGATGGAAACAGGATATCAAACGGGTGTTTCTCAATTCTTCAGAATAACTAACAGACAAAGAACACTATGTTTGCGGGATTTCTCGTGATCAAACATCTTTAACCTGACCTATATACATACCCAGAAATGAGACTGTAGATAATTTTCTGATTACCATCATCTCTTCAGTAACACGTCGCCATTGCACTCTCTTCTCTGTAGTCTTTGCAACCTTACTCCAGAAGCTTTGATTTCTTTCTCATACCATCTCATACATGTCACACTCTGCTCGGGCGCCCAACTCGTCGTTTCCCATTCCGCTTCCACTCGAGGGTCTGACCCGACACGTGATGTCCTCAAATGATCTCAGTGTATGCCCAATCCATCTCCACTTTCTTCTTCCCCATATTTGTTGGGCGATGCGTTCTTGGTCAGTTGGTTCGATGGCAGGCCAGAATGAGTTCCTTCTTGTTTATTCTTATTATTCTGGCCATCTGATCTTAAGTATAGAGTGAGCGAGCGTAGGCGGCAACTGTTGATCATGTATGTCTGTAGTTTGTTGGAAATGCTCTTTGTGACGCGTCACTAAGTCTTTCAACCATCACATATAAGTACTGACTTGACTGACATTAATGTTGAGTATCTGGATCTTGTTTACGCTTTACACTGAGTGAAGTGCATTAGATCTCCACACTGGTTTCAGGTTAATGAAGGTCTATCTAATTAATTACTTACTGACTGTTAACCACTTAAGGGTTTTCCAGTTTTCATGCAATTAAATAACCTACTGGCTCTTAAACAGTCCCTTCTTTTACACTGATTTTTGTTTGTTGCCCCCCTTCCACTCTACAGCTCCAGAATTTTACATCTCATCAGAAACAAATTGAATAAGTTTTCTAATTATTAATCCTATGTTTCCTTGACTAACTACCTTATTGTTAATCCTGGATTTCAAATCTCAATTTCTATGTATTTAGCGTTGTGTTAAATATTGCTGCTAATACTTCATTCCAACTGTAGGCTGTTTGCAGCTGATGAAACGCCATGAAGTAAAATGAGCTCATTTTATTCCGAAAATGCCTTTGTTCTTGCATTGTTCAGATGGCGTATGATGTTGTAACACTTAGTTCACTTCAGTTCTCTGCTTAGGTAGCGCTTATGCAACCATAATCATCTTATATTCAAAGCAAACATTTGTCATGTTTGCTTACTCCAGTTTTTGGAGAAATTGGACAGAATTGGTGGAAAAGAACATCTATAGCTCTGTCGGTGGATATCGTCAGCCCCATTGCTGAGCCTTTATAAACTCTCAGTTGCCTAGTGGATAAGGTTTCGGTGTTTGAAGCGGTGAGCACTTGGTTCGAGTCCCAGTGGGAACAACACCGCTCACTGGGGTGAAGGTACATCACCCGACGAGTCTCAAATAGGATGAAACGCGCGTAATGGATACCCTGGTAGCTACTACCATGTAGGCCACCCAGACAACTGTCTAAATTCGTATGGAGAGCATTCGGTGAGATGTGAAATGCCTGAATGACAAACAGCTTGAAGTTATCAGTTGTCTTTCAGATTCCAACTGATATTTTACGCGATAGAGTTTCGCCTACATAAAACTACTGTTAACTGTGATGCCAAAACGATGTATGTCGGGATTGACTTCTACCCTAGAGTCATTCATTTTTTGTCCCCTTCACTTTTGGTACTATACACACATCTTCATTCAACTTCTACCTACCTCTTAAGTGGTGTGGTGATCAAGAGTGTAAATCTCGTTCTCATGTGCTGATATGATTTCTAAGAATAAGTACTGAGTTTTAGTCTTCCTGACTTTTTGGACGTTTTCGTCCCAACAAGAACAGGTGGGTTACTAAAGGGAAACCTATACAAGAAGACTACATGGACGAGCTAATAAACACACTTCCTTATCTTCACTTCCCTCTGACATAATTGAAATCTAGTACAAAACCTCAATTACAGACTAGGAGCTCGATGTTCGGAGTATACGACCAACAAAAATGGCGACGAAGCCAGAAAAGAAATGTATATCAACTATGAGCAGGAAATTATTTTACACTGAAATACAGTCAAAGGGAAAGGGCAGAACACCATCAGAGATACTGATTCCGCAGCTCTTAAGATCTATCCAATGAACTTTTAATACAGAGAAGTTGAGGCTTGTATTTTTTACACGCCCAGTTGTGCTACTGAGGCTGCAAGATCAGATACCTAGGCTGACTGAGCAATTGTTTTGGTTTACCAATCCAAATCTTCCTGCAGAGTCAATTATTTCCGTCGATGTTCCAGGAAAATATTTTTCGTGCTTGTGAATACCCCCTAGCATGGCTAAATGAAGGTGTAGTAAAAAATGTAAGTAGCTCAACATTAGCTCACTTAACTCAAACAGACTACGAAGCAAGTATGGATCAATCAAGTTTTATCACTTACCAAGTTCCGATTAATTTACCAGAAGCTGCTAAAAGGATCAGGATACTTCAAATATTAGAAGTTGTAGCCATTCAGCGTAAACATCCTGAATTATTTGCACAGAAGAAACAGTTACAGCCAGCTTTGGAGAATCGGTTACTCTCTGGGGTAACTGATTTTGACAATCTAGCATCATTTTATGACTTAAATTATTGATTATCAACGACTAACTGTAATATAAATTCTCACTATTTGATTTTACTGAAATGGAATACGGCCACTAGTGTTTCCTGAATCAACTTTTAGTCGATAGTGTATTCGCTCACACCTAACTAAAACTTGTCAGCTTCGTATGATGGGACTCGTGGTGATTTCCCTCTAGAGTGCTAAGCACACCTCCAGTGAATCTAAACATAAGATGATTAATAACGAAGGTGTCGACGTATGAAGACCACTTGTACAGCAGAGAATCCTCATTTTAGTACTTATATTTT